TTAACAATCTCACTTGATGTTTTTTAATAACAAACAATTAGGACAAGTCTTATACACCAAAAGCTCGCGACATAACTGAATCTGTAATTCAAACACTGCCTAGCCCGCTACGATCGACGCCATTTTTGAAATCATTATTACATTGGTTAATATATTTGATTGCTGTTTAACAATACTGAACATTCTGGTACAGTTATGTAGATATAGCACTTATTTAATATATTACAACTATCCAAAATCTCTTCATTAATTTTAAATAAGGTAAATAAATCATGATTAAAAAAACATGCAGATTAAGACATAGTTTACATACAGGCCATGTTATTAAGAAAGAAAAATAAGATTAAGTATGTAAAATAAAAAATATATAAGCTGTTAGTGACTTTACATCCGGTATACATATGATCAGTTTTATTTTACACAACCGATAAATAAGTATAAAAAAATGTAAAAGTGTCTCTCGGCAGATGATCTAACACTTAGCATTCAACTGTAACCTTAATAACTATGACGTCGTCTGTAAATACAATATGTATGCTGATAAATAAAATCCGAAGCTTGGGCAGCGTGCAAAATAAAGTAATTTCAAAACCTCTACGTACAAAATAAATATAATTTTATCATTGACTTGTCCGAGTTTTTAAATCGAAACGTATCAAATAGATATTGTAAGCGACAGAGGAACTGCAAATAAGCTGTACAACATACGATGGATAAAACTGCACGGTAATAAGGTGTAGAGCAGCGTAGATAAAATCATGTAAAATGGTACAACGATGCTGATTCAGTACACTTTCAATTGATTCTTGTCGTCAAACCCGGCGGAGTGGCCAGCGTTGCGGACGATGAACGAGTTGCCATCAAAATGCATACGCCTCTCGCCGCGACTGCAAGTATCAATTAAAAAGATATACAACTAAAAATTGACACTAGGCAACACTGTTTAAACTTAAATATTAATGTTATGCACTGGCTGGTTATATTAACAGAGAATAATTAACGTACCGTACAAATAAATGCTGAGTCTGGCCAAGGGAGGCCGTGCAATGCACAAAAGGGCTGGTGATAGATGCAGATCCGTTGCTAGGGCTGGTACGCAGTTGGTACTTGTGACTGCAGCGATGAATACTGAAGCAAATATATATACATAATATAGGTGATATACATTCTAATGTATGTGAACACAATAAAACCCTTTTGTATAACTTGCTTTGTGATAATATTGCACTTTACTGTATGTGGTTCCGAAAAAAATTAACGAGAAGGGAGGTATCTGAAAGGAGATCACGTGTATCTATTTTCTGATTAATGATTTAGTAAATGAATAAATTTCTGAAAATTTCAACAATACTTTAAGCTAAAAGTACGGGTTTTGGATACATGGTGTGTGGTAGCTAAAAACCTCGCCACATATCACCAGGGGTAAGGGTCTAAAAGTTGTTAAAGAACGTGAATGGAAGACTTCAAAAGGCTTTTGTGGTCCATCCCTCACATTAGGGAAACTAGGACAAAAGCATTTCAAAAGGGTCTTTATTTTGAAACTAAGAAACCAAATAAATTTCTGCATCATTCAAATAAAATATTGGCTTAAAAAATCATGACTATTTCATATAAAACCTAAGATGTGAACAGCAAAATATGTTAACTTCATATGACTCGATGAATACTCATTTGCATGCATAATACCGCAGAATAATTATAAGTATGATGTTAACATGGGCGATAGATAAACAACGCCTAGCGATAAGGTGAGGTGAGCTTTGCATCGAGCGGCGCAGAAATGCAAGCTCTCACGTAATAAATCTGTTGCGTCGCAGTATTGATTAAACGGTTCACGCCCATCCATATACACTCATACCTCAGTATATTTATATATGCTCGTCTCACCTGCGGGAAACATTTTATTAACGGTCCGATGACTACGTCCTCTAACGATTTTATACCTTTGTTTGTTGTTGATTACGCTATTCTGCATTATATTATACATAAAAATGTATATTTACTAGATATAAATTCAACTTTGCAGAGACAAAGGAACCACATTAAAAATTCAAGACATACCGCACTAGGCCATCAGCAGTCTGGCTGACGCGTACATTATTGATGATCCAGTTGTCGATGCCGTCGTCGGTGAGCCAGTACTGCATGGCCTGCAGCAGCGAAAGCGCCTTGTTCACATACGACGGCCCGTGACCAGATTCACTGCACAATACAATAAATCTTCAAACCTCTATTTAGTGACTGGCCAAGAACTCAGAACTTTGCGTGTGACCTATCTGAAAAGTCAGTCGCTCTGCTAGTCGTGCTGTCTTACCTAAAAAAAAATCCTAAGTCCAACTGCCGAAATCAGAGTCGTAATAAGTATTCCTTAGCGTAGATTTAATATCAGAAATCTACAAGGACCTCTTAGTGACCAATATAGGTTAGACAGCGGGCAGGACGCAAAATCGATAAAATTATCTGTGGAGATGTCTTAACAATGAAAATGTTGATTTTCAATAAGTATTAAGCAATTTAGTGCTACAGTGAAGTAGTGCCTAAATCGTTTGAACGATCTACCGAAATATCGTGTGTATACAATATATTTACTTGTAGAAGACATTGAGCGTGAAGTCCTGGCTCATGTCGAGGAAGGTGTCAGTGGTGGTGCGTGTGCCGGCCGCGTCCACGAGGTACACCAGCGCGCACTGCTCCGCCGTAAACGATACCCCCTTGTACCACATCTTTGCGTACCTTAGTAGCAATCCATGTATTAATACACAAAACACAATCTTTGAGCCATGCCTCATAAGTGAGGCGCAAAGTTTGAAAACCAGAGCGAGATAAGACTGTGATAGGTAAAGAAAGTAATAAAAGGTCTATGTAATTTAAGTGAGGTATTATAATGAGAAAGTTGCGTTAGATGAATTATAAAATTCTATGATGTACTGACTTATTGTTCCCTTGCTGATGGTGTGCTTGAATCTCTACCCTCGAGCGGTAGTTGTAAACTCGACCATTCGGATGTATGAGTGCGGCTGCAGCGCCCGACTGGGACAACGCAAGTACAATGTTGTACTTCGCATTAGTCACTCGCACTGCGCCGTCAACCGTCATGTCAACCCTTAAAGACAAACAAACACCTACGTGATAAAAAAACAATGATTACTCCAAACTATCATTCTTCCAAGACTGAACTCAATTGTGGATCAAAGGTGATTCTGTACCAAAAGCTATTTTAAGACGATTATAACTGGTATATACTTACTTTACCCTGTCTCTTAGTCTCAGGCAGACCGTGCCGTGCGGAGTCACCGAGGCGTTATACCGAGCCCCGCCAGCCACATCCGTCACCTATGATTTTCAATAAATTAATATCGAAAGACAAACGCGATTAAACTGTAGAGCTTGTCGAACATTGTCTAATTCGCCGTTAGTTTAAAATTAATTTTTATTTCTTCATACAGTTCGTTTATTTGGAAAATTCGCATCGAACCCCCAAGGGCAAGTTTGGAAAGGTGTTCGACGAAAACCATTCCTCGATATCTAGGCGTTGTCCGATAACTATACTTTTATAACCATTGACCTCTAAATCTCTCCATGTATCAGCATGGTAGATATCGTCGCCTGGGTAGAACGGGGCCTTGCGTTGCATTGGAGCCCTCCATGGTGGCTGCCATGCAGCTGCGCCAACTAGCTCGGCCTGACCCAAACCACCTTCCAAAAATTTGCTGTAATCTTGAAACGCGGAGAGGTTGGATTCCTCCTAGAAGTAACACCGTGAATAAATGAATATCAACTATTGTAAACTCATATTACTCTGAAGCAGTAAGCCGAACCACACGATATATGCATTGGTTGTGGTTGGTTTAAGGGTGCCTGATAAAGATTTATAAAAAACAAGCTGGCGCAATCATCATTATTGATTTAAATAATTGAGATTTTTAATATGAAATATAACAAACATTTCTCATTACAAGAACTTAGAAAGTTTAATGTATAATAAATACAATCTCGTGCTCGTTTACCCCGTAAGAAAAATTGGGTAAGTTCAGAAAGCAACTTTCTTACAAAATATATCGCAATCTACTATCAAAATATACGTTCTATTTTTCTTTCCTAATTTCATCTCGCAGGGTCCCAGGCGAAGGTGTGTCAACATAATAACTGACGGTTAACATACCCTCTGGATGTTTGATTGTTTTAAAATAAATTAAATACGTTATGCGAAAAATGAGACATTTCTCTGTACTTTCATATCACTAAATTTTATAGTAAATATTAATAAAATATAACATAAAAATACCTGGTTGTACGAATGAGCAGTATAGACACTTCTTGGTCTCACAGGCATGGTCACTTCCTTTCTAAAATCTGTACTAGCCATTGTAACTCAAATCAAAGTAAATTTTAAACGATTCTTGTCTGAAATAATAAATACATGAACCTCAAGTAATAGCGTCACTGGAAAATGCTACATAATACACAATACTTCATGTGGTTAAATTGGAACGAAAACGTAATTTGTCGTTTATTTCATTCCACATTTAAATATTACACTTTCTATGACATTTATGGCCAGTTATGAATATAACTTAAATGTTAATCAAAAATCTAAATATCATATCTCTGGAAAACCCACGAGATTTAAAAATAAGTGATGAGATTTTCAGTCTATAATGCGGGTAGATTAGAAAGTAAAATATCTATTTTAACCGAGTTCTTGGCCACTCAAATATTTTACCGCAATTTTGGCAAATCTAGACGAAATACACAGTGTACCCATAATTTTTTTTATCTAATGGCAACACTAGCATCCTTCAATTTTGTTGGTCATCTAAATTATCGAATTTTGGTTTTATTGCAAATCAGCGTTTACCACGTAAATAGTCGATAAATTCGCAATAAAAAATTGCAGAAACTTATGTATTGTTTAATTTAATTATTTTATGTACTAAATTGTAGTTATGATTGCCTTCCAGTATTGCGTAATTAATCGATCTTGGTACTTTATAAAAAAAGGTTAATTTACTGAAAATTTTCATTTATTTTGATACTGTGAACGCTGCTTCGATATTCCGATCTTCACCCATCCTCAGCAGGTGGCCCAGCCATCAGAGTCTGTGGGCTTTAGCTTCTCTAATGATGTTCACCCACCGGCGCGGCGTCTTGATTTCTCTATTGTAGCGGACTCTATTCGTCGGTGCCGTCTTCATCCTGCGTCGGGCCCAAAATATTGCGCATGATTTTTTATCCGCCTCCTAAAATTGTTACATCTATTCCATCATACAATGACCAAGGGAAATGGAGATTCATTTTATATATATTATTCGTTTTATATATTATTTACAGCATTAAAATCATTGGTTAAACCTAAATTATTTTATGATTATAATTAGCGTAACTATTAAGTAGATAATGACTCCTCGTTCTAATTATATCAAAGGTAATAACGGCTTGTAAATTATGGGAAAGCCAATTATTGTTATCTGCTCATTATTTAATGGGAGAGATGACGTGTAAACGAATCACAAAAAAACATACTACATTCACTATTATGGGATTCGATTATAGTATCCTCGTATCCTCAATGATTCGTCTCGTCCTAATTATGACGTAGTAATATTGTTCAAAGAGTTAACATATGTTGTTGCCGAAAAATTTTTACTTAAAAATTTCCCTACATTTTTTGCTTCTATTTTCTTACTAGGCATTCCTCAAAATATTTCCATACAAAATATATATTTATCTAGAAAGCGATTTCCGAACATATCATTGTTATCGACCTGTTACACCACCAATGGCGTCACGCCGGAAGTTTAACAAATAATAACCAAAATCAATCCTTATGTTCTGGCAATATCGCTTGTCAAAGAGTACGTTACGCCTAAAACTCAAGGAATCAAATCCGTCAAGTCACGGTTTGGTACATTTTATAAAATGATTATGTGCTTTAAAAATACGATGTATACAACATTTGAATAATTAAACTGCTTGTGTAAAAAAAAATTAAAAACATTAATTGTTTAATACTTAGATACTTAGAGAAAAAATATTTTTTACTCAATATCTGACATTTTTACTTAAACTTCCGGTAAGGTGAAAGTACATCTCAATCGTTGCTCTATGTTTTCTACTGTATATTTTGAATGTGGAAACACAGGTGGCACGCCACACGCCACGTTTCGCCAGTCTTATTAGTTTGCTCGTCAGTAATAGTGGCTAGCTTTTCAGTTCTTCATTTGGTTCAATAATTTAGTCAAGATGAGTGCTCCAGCACCAGCTTATAAGACCGGAATAGCCAAAATGGTAATAAAAGTTTGTTTTAATTATTAATTTTATATTAAGTGTGCTGTGATAGATACCGTATTGCCGCGTGCCGATCTCCCAGTCCCACATTGCCCCGTTGGCACTGAATTCACACTTTGAGCATATGTTACCTATTTTTTCAAGTAATTGATTTTTTCTTGCCCCGCCTCTTTGATTTAACCATTGTTGATTTTTCATTGATACATATTTGTGATGATTAAGTGTTTTTTTAGGACATAGAATTGTGGGAACCATATTGTGGTTCTCAAACTTTTCAACATATTGGTGAATGTGAAATGGATTTCTAACATTGCATTTCGATTTGCAGGTATTATCCGGTGATACCGTGATAATAAGAGGGCATCCGCAAGGTGGGCCGCCTCCAGAAAAAGTCATCGCGCTGTCGGGCATCACAGCGCCCAAACTCGCTCGACAGAAAACAGTCAACAAGTAAGTCGCTTATGCTTTGATAACAGTGCAGTATTTCGGTTGATTTTCTATGCATTTATGTATTACTATTGTACTTTTGTATGTAATATAAAATAACAAAAGATTTTTTCTTGCTGATGTTCTCTTTTTTTACGATACATTTCCAGGTTGAGACGTGGCCTAGCGTCAAAAGCATTTAGAGCTCATTATATTGAAACATTGAAATATTTTAGCGAAACCTATACCTAGTCATTTATTTATTGATTTTGCTCATGGCCACTTTTTACATAAGATATAATCATGCAATGCTGAGCGCAAAATGCATTGAGCTTGAGTCTCACTATCTTTAAGTTATTTTCATTTCAATAACAGCAGCTATGCAAAATATTTTGCTGCTATAAGGCCAATTTTAATTCTGAGTAGCAAAAGCATCAGTAACATTTAAGAATACTATCAAAATGAAATATACTTTTAGTTAAATGCAAATTCTATTGCAATAGTCTTGCCAGCATGGCATTTGTGAAAGTAATTATGCTTCAAATGGCTATTACAAAAGTGAGCCAAAGTGTTAAAATGTTTTTGTTCTTTTCTTCAAATTGCAATAAATACTAAATAACAAACTACTTTTAAAAATAATCTACAATCTTCATTGCTTGCTCTTACATGTAGCGCATCTAATTTACAATCTGTCGGACCGGACTCAAGATATTCTAACAAAATTCCATTTTGATTTTCGTTACTGATCATTCTAATTTTGAAGGAATAAATAAAACTCTTATTAATGTAAATCAGAAGTTAGAAATAGATTATGAATTTCATTCTTAACAACTCAGGCTAAATGAGAAAGTAGCAATCCTGGTAAGATTTGATAATTTGTGATATAGATGAAGTAGTATGCAATTATAAAGGAATGAACTATTTCTGTGCAATGCCACAACAGCAACAATACCAATTTTCTAAACATTTGAACCTGATCATTGACAAATAGTTACATCACTTAAGAGATGTAAGTCTTTTTATAGCATGGTTTGAACTGATTCTGCCGGTTATTTTTATTTTATATTTACAACATCACAAAGTCATTCATGTATTCAATATGCAAGAAGCTCTGAAGCGTACCATTAATTATCATTGCTGTGCCTGTACCTACATACATTTATTTAAGAATATAAAACAAAATTGTTTCAAGACTTACTATACTTTCCAATTAGTATAAATCAATATCTATTGCAATTGAAAAGCAAATGAAATTAGCAATAAAATATTCCAATGACTATGCAAATTATAGGTTATGTTGTAAAATGCTGTATTGTTCTATGTTGTATTATTAATTCCTAATGACTGCAAACAACTGTAAATGATTATAATTTTGCTTTTTATGCAAAAATAATCTATATTGTTACAAATTTTCCATTAATTGAATCTTTTTATGCACTTATTAAGATTATATATGAATTACATCTTATTAAGGAATAAAACAGTTTAATATTTTACTTGGACTAATAAATCATGTTTACCCTTCAAATTCTGTTTTATATTATAAAAATAATGATAACCGTCATGAAATATGAAAAATATGTTAATTACAATTTACAAATGGATATAACAAAAGAATTTTTATTTGGTGCAACAACAGTTCATTCCTTTAAAGCATATTTACAATGATGTTAAATTTTCTAATGTTTATGCAAATTATAGGTTAGGTTGTTCACTTTATTGATCTTTTTAAAAAATGTATTATTTAACTTTCCCTTTTTGTTTATTTATTTATTTAATGAAATAAGCTTTAAATATCAACACTAGAGATATTTTCAATTAATTTTGGCATTTCACTTTAAAGAAATCATTATCAATTATAAAATGTTGCTACGAATTTACATAGCTCTCATAGATCTAGCATTTGCTAGGTGTATGACTATAAACTCTTACTGACTAAAGAACATACATAAAGCGACTAGTTATTGCAGTGAAGTAACAAACAACTATCTTCAATAAATTGTTTGCAGTTTGATGAAGTATTTCGTATATTATTGTTATATAAATAAAGATCTTTAATAATTGCATTTATTGTAGCAATTCTGAAACAAAGGATGAACCATTTGGGTGGGAAGCTCGTGAATTTCTACGAAAAAAATTAGTAGGCAAAGTAGTCACATTCACCTCAGAGAAACCCCCAAATGCATCAAGAGAGTATGGATCTATTTGGATAGGGAAAGATCCAACAAAAGATGAAAATGTGATAGAATCCCTGCTGGCTGAAGGATTAGTGAAAATAAGAGATAGCAGCCGGAACTTTCCACCAATGAAAAAATTTATTGAAATTGAAGATGCCGCAAGAGCACAAGGCAAGGGTCTATGGGGTACTGATATCCAGGTGGGTGAATCCTACAATTACATTGTTTTATTTTCTTAAAAATTTCATTGCATAAACAAAGTTAAGTAATTATACTGTCATTAATTGGATGGATTGTCTTTTTGTATTTTAATTTTTTTAGAAACATGTCCGGGATATTAAGTGGACTATTGATAATCCGAAACAATTCGTAAACAAACATAATGGCCACCCTATCAAGGCGATTGTAGAATATGTACGTGATGGGTCTACCGTGAGAATGACATTACTGCCTGATTACTACACCATTACTTTGATGATATCTGGAATTAGAGTAAGTTTATGATAATTAGAAAAAAATCAATAGAATTGTTTATATCTTTATTATATTTCTCTTAAACTACAAAAATGTTTTGTAGTGTTCTCCAATTAAGCAAGATGGAGAATCAGATCAATTTGCTGAAGAAGCGAGATATTTTGTGGAAGCCAAATTGCTGCAGCAAGATGTTGAAGTTATTCTTGAATCAGTTAACAATGCATATTTTGTGGGAACCATCTTACACCCCGCTGGGAACATCGCTGAAGCTCTGCTCAGACAAGGATTCGCAAAATGCGTTGATTGGTCCCTTGCAGTTATGAAATCTGGTATCCATAATCATCGAGTTTTGATAAAAAATTTACAATTATACATGATTTATTTCTAATAAAAAGTTATTTAGATACAATAATGTGTTAATGTTTTTTTGTAAATTATTAGGTGCTGCTGCACTGAGAGCTGCTGAAAAAGCAGCAAAGGAATCTAAAACACGGATGTGGACTAACTATACATCTAATGCGCCTATTATTTCACCTAAAGACAAAGAGTTTACAGGAGTTGTGTTGGAAATTGTGAACGGAGATGCTCTTATGATCAAATTATCCAATGGTATACATAAGAAGATATTTTTGGCCAGCATTAGACCACCTCGTGAAAAGTAAGCAAAGTAACAAACTCCATTTTTAGTATTTAAATGGCTTGAAACCATTTTATAATTATTCAATTTTTTTAGGAACAACGGTCCAGATGAAGAAGGTAAGCAGTCACCGAGACCAAAAGGGTTCAAACCTCTGTATGAAATTCCTTGGATGTTTGAAGCGCGCGAATTCCTGAGGAAGAAACTCATTGGCAAGAAAGTTAGTGTGACTGTTGATTACATTCAGCCAGCTAAAGACACCTACCCAGCCAAGACTTGCTGCACTGTCATGGCTGGTGGAACGTAAGTATACTTGAAAATCTATATTTTATTTGTATTTAAAATGCCTCAATTTAATAAAACTTAAATTTGTTTAACAGTAACATTGCAGAGGCACTAGTAAGCAAGGGTTATGCAACTGTTGTAAGATACAGAAATGATAATGACCAGAGAAGCTCCCACTATGACAAACTACTGGAATCTGAATTGAAGGCTCAAAAGGCAGCAATTGGAATACACGCCAAGAAAGATATTCCCACTCATCGCGTACAAGATACCAGCGGTGATCCAGCTAAAGCAAGAAAATTCTTACCATTCCTCAAGAGAATTCAGAAAACTGAAGCTGTAGTTGAATTCGTCGCCAGCGGATCCAGACTCCGTTTGTACATTCCCAAAGAGTCTGTCCTCGTTACATTCTTGCTGGCTGGAGTTGTCTGCCCTCGAGGTGCCCGCCCTGGTGCTGGCGGAGGACCCATGCAAATTGCTGAGCCGCATGGCGAAGAAGCCCTGCAGTTTACCAAGGAGAAATGCCTCCAGCGTGATGTGCATGTCACCATTGAGGACATGGACAAGGCCGGCAGCTTCATCGGCTGGCTCTGGATAGAAAATGAGAACATGTCTGTCTCCTTGGTTGAGCATGGCCTTGCTACTATGCATCATGCCGCTGAGTCCTCGGAATACGCGCGAGCAATTAAGACAGCAGAGGAGAACGCTAAGATGAAACGCATCGGAGTTTGGAGGGATTTCATTGAAGCGGACCGTGAAATCGAAAAGGAGAGGAATGCCCCAATTATGGAACGCGTTGTCAAGTACGACAAAGTTATTGTCACTGTTGTTAAGCCTGATGGCAATTTCTACGTCCAGAATATTGATCTTATTCCTAAGTTGGAGGCGTTGATGGAACGGATGCACCATGATTTTAAAAATTGCAGCAGCCCGATGCCTGGTTCGTTTGTACCCCGGAAGGGATACATGTGTGCGGCGCGCTTCACTGCCGACAACAATTGGTACAGAGCAAAAGTTGAGAAGGTTACGGACGATGGATTTGCTCATGTCTTGTACGTTGATTATGGAAACAGAGAGGTAATTACTTTTTATAATCTTACTTCTTACTAACAATATAAAGGAGAATTTTTGGATGGAATAGATGGATAGAATGATGGATGGATGTCTGTTTGAAGGTGTCAGCAGAAAAATTGACAGATGTGGAACATAGTCTGGAAGATTACATAGGCTACTAATTATGTTTCTTTTGTAATTCCGCTCGAACGGAGTCGCGGTCAACAGCTAATGATATTATAAATGTGAAAGTTTGGATGTTTGTTACAAGATTGTTTTAAAGGGCTGAACAGATTTTGCAGAAATTTAACATAGATGTTGAACACATAGGCTACTACTTATGTTTCTTATATAATTCCGCGCGAACGTAGTCGCGAGTAGCAGCTAGTAAAGTTGTAAATATGAAAGTTTGAATGTTTGTTACCAGAAATCTCTTAAAAGGCATAAAGGATCTTGTTGAAATTTTTCATAGATGTAAAAATTTGCCTGGAAGAACACATAGGCTACTAATTATGTTTCTTTTCTAATTCCATGCCAACGGAGTTGGAGCCAGCAACTGGTTACAAATAATTGAATTTTTGAGATGAATTAAATTAATATAAATGAAATGAATTAATCAATTAAGATGACAATGTGAGATATTATGTAAATTAATGCAATAATTTATCGATCAGATACTAGACTTCACCCGGCTGGCCCCCATACCGCCCAGCCTGGACATCGAGCCGCCGTACGTTAATGAATATGTACTGAGCTGCATCAAGTTGCCATCTGACGCTGATGACTTGCGCGAGGCGGTACGTGCATTCTGTGCTGACACGCTCAACAAGAAACTGCTCCTCAACGTTGAATCCCGCGGCACACCGCCTGCTGTCACCCTCGTCGATGCTGCAACCAACTCCGACATTGGAAAGGTATACTGACATCTTGACATTAAATTCCCCGCCCCACCGCCCCCTCGCCCCTCCCATATTCCCATCTTAGATAGAGATATATTTGAAGTAAAATCCACCATCATCTGATCATACACATAATAGTCCGTCAGCACAATACGAATTATTTCAATCATTTAAAACAGAATATCCTTTTATTGCAACACAAAAGTACATAAATAAATTCATTATAAACAAAAATTTCAATTTCAAACAGTTAAAAAAAATCGGTTATTCGAAAATTTCTAATGTTCCTTCCGACAATCCCTTCCATATATCCCAAATTATATGCGAATGCGAACTTATGTGAAATTTTGGATATAAACGTAAAGGTTTTTATGTAATTCATGTAAAACTATGAGAAACCTCGAAATTGAAACAGAAGTTATAAATAAAAGCTTAGAACTATTTGCAATGAATATGTTCAAGAAGTGACTGTTTTATAGTTACTGTATTTTCTTAATAATAACATTTGTATTTTGCTAACTAACATATCATTAACCATTTGAAGATTCCCTCACAGTCCTCTAATGGAGAGTCCAAGGTAAAAAAATACGATATTTCATCGTATTGCTTTTGCGGTTTAAGATTTAATGTTATATATTTACTAAATCAACATACACAAATATCAGTTATATATGTTTTATTTGATTATATCTATATATACACAGATTTACATATAATTATACATGTTTAAATAACACATTATATTTGTAATTAAAGACAGTATTATAATATGATACATTATCAGTTGAATTTGTTATTCCCAACCCCTGCAATTGCTACTTTAAGTTATGCTAGATGTCTTATATTAATCGTAGAAGTAAAACCTCTGTAAGTTGAACAAATAGGCAAATTAAAAAATTCTGAAGTGGCCAAGTACAAATTATGTATATTAAAATAAGAAATAAAAATATAGCTAACTTTGAAGTACTCCTTGAAATAAGTATCAAATTGGTTTTTAGCGGATTCTAAATTTGGTTGACGTTGTGTGAACGGACCAATTCTCGACTCATTGAGGTTGTACTCTATAAGTTGATGTATAGAGTTGTTGTTGGCGGTGATGTAAAATGTTTGTTAATCGTGTGCGCAGAATCTGATCAAGGAGGGTCTTGTGCTGATGGATTATACCCGCGAGCCGCGCCTGGCTGGGCTGATGGGCGAGTACCGCGCTGCGCAGGAGCACGCGAAGACCTCGCGGCTGAACCTGTGGCGGCATGGAGACATCACCGAGGATGACGCCATCGAGTTTGGAGCGCGTCGCTAGCATACGTATTTGTGGTTCGATGTAACCGCAACAGCATCGCACAGGCGTACCTGTGCCACTTGCGCCGAACCCAGAGACATCATGAAAGTCCTTATGGATTTCCTGTAAATCAATAAACTCTTACCTCCCAAATTTTTAAACTTTGATGATTATCTATATAACCGTTATGTGAGAGGACACAGCCCCATAGTTATGTGTATTTGATGTACGTGTGGCAATTTGTAAGCCGATAACGATATTGCGAGTAATTTGCTTCTCTTAGTGAAATATTTGATATCTTGATGTACCTATTTTAATGTAATGTTTGTAGTACGAACGTAAGTTCTGTTAAAATATTAAATATTTATAGAGTTCTTTTAATTTATTTACATTGTCATTTTGTTTGATCAAAATACTTTCTTATGAGTTCAATTACCCCTCAGCTCTCCATCTCTTCTTTTTAAAATGTTTTACACGTTATCCTTGGCAGTTTTCATAAGTTAATTATTAGAGAAATATGTTTTGTTTTTTCTACAATATGGTATTTTGAATATTTTATATGTATAGATGAATTTTATAGAATATGTAATGTTGGTATTTACTTATTTACATATGTCTAATGTTCCCTATGAGAGATCACTGCCAATATCTTTTTTCTATATTATAATGAGTTTTTGTATAATTGAGATTTTTATAACAAATATATATATATATATATATATATTTTAATCTCTCATGGGGATTAATTTGATATTATAGATTTTATATATAATGAAATGAAATTAATTAATAATTCCATGATCTATTATTACCTAATATTATATGATAAAGGACTTTTGAGGTAAAAAAAAAGTTTTTAACATAATATAAATAAATTAAATGACCTAGGAATATGCATGCATTTATCACATTTATCTATAAAAAGTAGATTTTTGTGTTAATAGAATTGGATGTCGTGAAACAATTACTTAATTAAGATATATGTGTCCTGTAACGATTTTAAACAATTTTCAAGATGATTCGTAAAATAATATGTGTGATTCCCTTAGCTCTGTCCCTCTGATACATAAATTATAATAATATTCGATGTCACGTAGTTTACAGCATAAGTTGATGGTTAAATAAACATGATATAATTAATTCATATTCATATCTTGTTTTATTTCTACTACTTTTAATGCCTTTCTTAAAAATATTACACAACGCTTGTCGAGTTCATGTAAAAATTTCGACTCAATTTATGAATATCTTATAACATTGAAGTGGTTTATAAATAGAATCAGAGGTTGATTCATTAATTCTAAAATCGATATTCAGTCTGGGAGAACAACTTAACAAGATTCTTTGAATAGCGCGGACAAAGTCGCTGCCTAATTCTAATAAATATGAAAATAAAATAAGCAAACAGTTTTACATAGCCATTAAGAATTATTATGAGAACAAAAACCTGATAATACTTGAAATTGATAAATTTGCTATCTTACTAATATCAATGGATGGATGGATGTTTAATGATATTTCGTAAATGGCTGTATGTAGAACATAGGCTACGATTTTTTATAAACGGTGCCTTTGTACGTGTACGGGCGACAGATTTTTTATAAATAATGATGTAAAGAAGACTTATTGGCGATACTGATTTAAATAAGTAAACGTCTTTAAGATGTTACGACACCCAAAGTGAAAGTAACTGAACATCTTTCCATTCACCTGTTACTATTTACCCAAAACAGATTTTAATGAATAATAACTATCTGTTGCCAGTAAGATAATATTGAGTAAGCATACTATGTTAAAGTGTTTTATCTAGATTAGAGGAAAAGTATTATATAAATAAAATAAAAACGTTAATCTGTTTGAAAAATTTTAATCGAAACGTCATGATTCTGTAAAGCGAATTCATATTAAGTATTGACTTCAAACCAACTATTAAGATCATGGATGGTACCGTCGCTTAATAATGCGTAAATAAATATCATAATATCATATTTCATAACGTCTCTCACAACGCTATTCAATATCTCGTTGCTAGCATCCTATATGAAGTATACTTATGTTGGAAAGGTTGGATGTATTGATCGCGAGATGTTCAAGATGGCGGCCGCCCACGCTGCTAATAATATTAACCTGTGACCCAGACTACATGTCCCTCATGAACGCTATGTTAATTTTTAACATTGCTTATTTCTACTTTAATGAATTTTATTCTGCGATGTGTATTAAATATCCACAGAAACCGATACGCTCTTTTTGTTTAATGGTCGATGTTATTTTTTACTTGCGCTATATATTTCATGTTTATAATTAGACTTGCTATCGCCCGCGATTCCGTCTGCGCGAAATAAATAAAAAAAACTTAATTAGCAGCCTATTTGTTGTTCCAGACTATGACCTACATCTATGCAAATCCGTTCAAATCTATTCAAACATTCGTAATTATAATATCAGTAAGACGCTAAATAATAAAGATATTTACGGGTGTTCCAAACCGTACTCTCAAAAAGATGGACCACGGGTACAATTTCGGTTGTCTACTTTGACACTTGTGACAGCAGTATTGACGAATGATTTAAATATTTGGAGGAAAGTGCAAGTAATGTCCACTCTATAATTAGTATTATATTTAACTTTTTACTAATGAAGCAGGTCCCAGTATGATATTACATAGGGCTTTCATTTAAATCTTTGTACGCAACTTCCATGTTCTCATGACTCGTCTTTAAAATCGAACAACCTCGAAAGTTGTATTGTGAAAAGTTTTCAGTACAATTATTGCGTAACGAATTCTGCTACTTAAGCTAATATATTGGGCATTACAATGTTTGGGATGAGTAATCTCAAATATAGCTGACTGAATCAGATTAAAAACTTAAAATGAATTAATTATAAAAAAATATTACCTATCTAGCGTAGAGGACCTATAAACTTGTCTCTAGCTATATTTCTAAACATCTCTAAGCTTTGTCAGTATTATGTTCACATTCATATTTTGAAGAAAGTCCCTTCTTCTGTTGATAGATAGACAACGCATCTGCAATTGCAAATGTCTATGGGCCGTGGTCCTTTCGAAATTCTAGCGTAATTAGGTGGTCGCTTTCTTGTAGTAGATACAAAAAATACATATTTATATAGTGATAGTCTTAAAAAAGAACTAAGAAAATGGGGATAAGAGAAACGGTAAATCAGGTAGTCGTAGTTGTGATCTTACGTTAAGATGAAGTAGTTAAAAATGAAACGACAGTTATAAAAATATTCCTTTTATTTTCATAAATTACAAATTAAATCTAAAAATATAAATGCTCATACGTAAATGTGCGCAAACGTATAATACTTAAAATATATGCTTTCTACATAATCAATGTACTATAACATCGAAAAACTTTAAAAACAATTAATGAAATTTAAAAAAAATCAACTCTATACAAAAAAAAATTAACAACTAAATGTAAATTAATTCTAGATAAATATATATTTAAGAACATTATTATTGCTTCTGATATTCTTTACTCCAACATTTTTAAATAAGGAAATTGGAAAACTTTAGAGAGAATATGAAATGAAACACTGGCTACAATCGACTAGACTTTGACAGGAGATCAGAAAACAGTTCAAAAAAATATAGTACCTTTACTAAAAGATCTTCTTTTAAAATATTAGTATGTTCAATATAGGAAGTAATTTTACATAGAAAGCTTGTGGAATTAAGATAAAAGAGTAATAAAAAGTATTTATTACATTGACTATATATTATCTATGCACAGCCGGGAAAGCGATATCGAAGGGAACCCTAAATTAACACCAACAGCATACATATGTTCTTGAGTCTAATTTACAAAATTCGTATCTTGCCTCATTTAAAATGAAGCCATAACAATACCATGCTATATTTCTAAATAAACTTATAATATTTTTTTTTATTAAACATGCAGTAAATAAGTTTTTTTTGGCTTTTTATATACAAGGTGGAATTCTTAAACCTTATATTGCGGAAAAGTACTATAAAAACATTAAAATTGCGAGCAATTTCACTCAAAGGTAACATTACTTTATTTACTTTTGGTTAAAGAAACGTAATTGTTGCTTGTTCGTACCGGGGCGTTCTATATTCCTGGTCAGGCTATAGTTATAGGAGTGATACATCGGATGTCTTGAAAATTACAATTTCTTTTTCATATATAATATTGCCAAACAAATATCTGATATTAGCAAACACTTCCATAGGTAAATATGTTCAGAAAACAAATAACGAGGATATTTTTCTAATATCTTTAATAAAAATAACACGAAATAAAATCCTTAAACGATAATATATTTTATAAATTGGATGGATGGTATATGGATGTTTGTTTGCAGATATCTCCATAACGGCTGAACGGATCTCGATGAAATTTGGCATATATATAGAACATAGTTTGGAAGAACACATAGGTTACTATTTTTTTTTATTACCGCGCGGACTGAGTCCCGGGCGACAGCTAGTAAAGGAATAAATACTTGTGAGTGAAATTGACTCTAGTAATTAGAGACATTTTCCTTGGTGTATAATTAACATACTTCCACCTTGATATGTATATTTAATACAATTTAGTTTTTTTATAAAAAATATTTGCCTTCTATATTTACAATATTTTATGACAAATTGACATAATATTATCTACCTTCTGTATAGTACGTCAAAGTTATCTGGACTGGTAAGGGGCGCTGCTGTTGCGGTTTGCGTTTAGTTCTGTCAGAAAATGTACCAATACTATAACAACGTAGGTTACATTGTTATCGAAAATAACATAAAAATACCAAAATCTTTAGTTGATAAAAGATTGATTACTTTGACAATTCACTAGAGATGGAGTGTTAAAATCGGTTATGAAAATTTTCGATTTATTCAGTTGTTCTTATAAAACTTGATGAAAATTTTGTGATTATTGTTATTGAAATACAATATAAATAAAATAGTTACTTCCTATTCCTACTGTCTGCAAAACTACCTAAAAAAATAAAATATTAAACCAAAAGTTGAGACGTTCACAAACAAAAAGAAATGTTTTTAATTTATTTTTTTTAGTTAATTGTGCGGGACATAGCCAACTATCTGTAATAAATTAAAAAAGTAATAAAATACGTAAGTATAGTACTTATTTGATCGACCAATATAATTATAAGACCGATTTTCGATAGTTCATAGTTGTTAGTTCCGACACTATGGCATTCGTCTATTAAGTAGGTACAATGTTAATCCTCATACAATATCAAATCGAAAAATCAATCTTAAATAGACACACTATAGTTTGACAATTCATAACACAGATAAAAAAAAGAACATACAGACCAATTGATAACTTCCTTATTGAAGTCGGCTAATAATCATAAAACAGACAATCTATAAGCTGCTATACTGACGTTGACGGGGGGCGCTAGTGAGCTGCTATAATTTAGTTTGACTTATGGGTATCGGGTCAGATAACTTTGACGGTTTATACTTGGTTACCATATGGTATGGTTTACCCCAACAAAAAAATAACAAAATAAAATATTTAGTAAGTTTTGTTCAGATTCTGTAATTGTTGGTTAAGTTGTAATATAACGAATAAAATGAAATGTGAAGAAAAGAAAAGATGTCTGTCAGAAGAAACGGAGAATGTTTTTGTGATATATAAATAAATATATAATATATAAAGGTACAAAAAAAAACCGCAACAATTGCAGAAGCTGTGACATATTTTGATGGCTATTTTTGATATAATTTTGCTGAGGTAACCGACCGTAAACACATTGTCTTAAGACAATCATAAGAAATTACACGCCCTAATAGTTAACATAAACTTAAATTAAACTTGACATTTACTGGATTTAAAAAATAATAATAATTATAACATTATAAAACGGAGCAATTTCATTGTACTCAAAAAATATGAATAAAACTCTTTCATATAAACTTGTATAGTTGATAAAATATCACGTTTTTGTACTAAAATTTCATAAAGATTTTACAGAATTTAAAAAAAGTCTTACAACATCTGAAACATTTCTATGACTAATATGTACATAGATTTAGACAATTTGTATTGAAGGATCACTAGTGGAGGGATTATCATTATTTTCATCAATAAAGGGACTTACTTCATTCGGTAGGGAAGGAACAGTTTGAAGGAATTGTTGTAAAGTGCCATAGTAGTCTCTGCAAATCCATGTATCATTGTGTCCGCCCCCGGTGATCAGTACAATCTTCTTACAAATAGCTCCGCACCTTGTGTATAAGTCACTCGACATTGCTGGCGGTACTAAGTCGTCCTGGGTACCACAAATTATTAACGTCGGAGAAACCACATGACCCATTTTCCTCAACGACATATACTGAAAAAAAAAACTCATTATTTACTAAAAATTCAAAATAGACACATTTATAAAACTTTATCATTAACTAGAGGTTGGTCAAAAAAACTTAATTAGTAGCCTATGTGTTCTTCCAGACTATAAAGTGTTCTATACTTAAGCTAAATTTGTCAGATCCATACAGCTGTTCTGGATATTTTCAGACAATCATCCATCCATCCAAACAATCGCATTTATATTAGTAAGATTTGTTATTAATTTAATAGATTAGTTGTACAATTAAAGCTTCATTGATATAGATCTAGTGGTTATTAAACTATTGCAATTTCTATGTACCATTTAAAAGTTGACAACCTTATATGATTTACCTTATTTTTGTGACAAAAATATGGCAACCATTTCAAAATTCTCCATGGTAAAAGAAGCTTTGCCATATCCGGAATGCTCGTAAAAGTATTCTCCACAATAAGTGCCCAAATCTTGTTCCTGTATTTGAATCTGGACGCCAGGTCTATAGCTATAGCGCCACCTAGAAAGTTATGTACAAAAAAATTTAAACTACATAATGTTAATACTGAATACATTTTAAAAATTTTAAAATATAATTTTACTAGCTTTCGCCCATGACTCCGTCCGTTATATTTCCGAATTATAAAAAAACTTAATTAGTAGCCTATGTGTTCTTACAGACTACGTTCTACATCTACGCCAAATTTCAGCAAGATCCATGCAGCCGTTCTAAAGATACCTTCAAACAAACATCCATCTAAACATTCGCATTTATAATATTAGTAAGATTTTGATATTACATAATGACAAAACTATTTTTTATCTATACCATCTTTGTTATTATAAAAAAATAAACCTATAATATTGTAATGCTTACCCAATGATCTGCCGAACACAATAATCTTCTTCCTGTCTATATCTGATCTTTCCATTATATAATTAAAAGCAGTCTGTGCATCCTCATAGAGACCACTTTCAGATGGGGTACCTTCAGATAGACCGTAACCTCTATACTCTACTAACAGAATGTTGATATTTAATTTATGATACAACTCGGAAGCGTTGGGTAACCTGTAAAAATCAGGAATAGAAACTTAGTCAAACAGGAAACTATTTTTCAATATGTAGATTGCTAACCAGAGTTTTGGGTAGTGAAAATCTATATAAGTGTAGTGTATTTATGTAATAAAGATAGTATATTTAACATTAAAAATATATTATACCTTTGACCCATATTCCCGGCATTACCATGGAAAAATATCATTGTCGGAATATGGTTGCAGTTTGTTTCTTGTTTTATAAGAAACATGTGAATCTTCAATCCATCTTTATTTTTGATTTTAATACTTTCATATGGTAACTTAAAGTTACTCGGTTGTAAGACAAAATCTCTTGAATCTGGAGGCATATTCGGATAGTACAGCAAAAGATCTTGTCCAGTATAAAATATTCCTGCAAAAAATTATACATCTACATTGCATTTCATTATTAAAAGCACCTTTTTACAAAATATGTTAAATAATTCTTATACATTCACGGGCTCTGTTGCATATGGATTTTGCATAACAAAATACAGCATTCAGACAACCCAGACAATTTATACAGGACACATAATGATATTTACAGGATGTCTCTAACTGATAGTAATCTGTAGCAAGTACAAGTCGCTCACAATTCTTGACAATCAGTTGCATAATCTTACTTAATATTATAATTTGGACAGATGAATGTTTGTTAAAAGATATCTCCGGAACATCGCAACAGATCATGATGATAGTTGGAACAGACATATTAAAGTTAGAAAACATTCACATAAGCCTTACATATTCACATATAAACTTTGATCTTTTATTGTCTAACACCCTCAAGAGTATCTTTTTCAAAAATTGAATGTCATATTTATTTATATTACTTTAACAGCCTAAAACATAAGTTTCAATCTTCTGGCTGCAAAATTGACAATGCTTCCATATAAGCTTTTATCCCCACTTTTGAGCCCTTCCAACCATTATTTCGCATTAAAAAGTAGCCTATTGATTTCTCAAGCTTTAATCTATCTGTGTACCAAATTTCATTTAAATCCATTTAATAGTTGTAGCGTAAAATCGCGACAGACAGACAGACTTACTTTCAAACTTATAATGTTTATAAGTAAGGATCTGTGGTTTGGCAACTTACACAAAACCGCCAAAAAAATAGGATGAGACTGTAGTATACTGATCAATGATTTAATATAAAAAGAAGGAAAAAATCTTTATTGTTATACACAAAAAATATTCATTTAATAGTTATTAATTAATTTTCAAATTGAATTCATATTAATTGCACCTCCTATTAGCTCTCTAAAAGTAATAGTTTAAGTTAGTTGAATTTACTAGAAGAACTGAAACCTCAAGTGCTATTATTAAATCTACCCGCATGTAAAATGATTCTCTGGATGTCTGTGCCCACATCATGAATTTTAATAAGTCAAGGGGTATCCTTCTTTGCATTTTTTTTCAGCCAGCTGCAGTTGCAATTCAGATTACATTTGTAAAGGTGCTATATATAAATGCAGCATAAATTTTATTTGCTTGTATATTTTAATGGAAACAGCCATATTCTTACCACTTTTATTGCTTTGTCTGATAAGTTTGTGCCAATTTTTAAGGACAATTGAAATTCAATTCACATATTTTTATGGTAATCATTTTTAAATTGAGACTTATACTATTCTAATATTCTCTTTAAGAATATGTAAACATTACATGTGATATATAATGTACTAGCTGTTGCCCACGACTCCGTCCGAGCGAAATAAAAAAAAGATAAATAGTAGCCACATGCTCTTCCAAACTATATTCAAATTTAATTGCAATAAATTCAGCTGTTCTGGAGATACCTTCGAACAAACATCCAGCCATCCATCTAAACATTCACATTTATAATATTTAGTAAGATTCATGTCTCTTCAAAGCTACCTATTAAAAATTCGAATTAACTTATTGAGCAACCAAATATGTTGCAAACTGTAAGTAAGTTACAACTTATATGGGATATGGAAATTAAGAGATGTCAATAATTTGAAAACATATAAGGTAAGGGCATTAGTAGTTGGCCATGTACTTGTAGTTTACCGTTTTGTATGAAATTTTAAATAATAAGTGTTATCTTTATTGTATCTAATAAAAAAAAAATTAAGTAGCTGCTGCCATGTATTAACAACTGCGGAAAGATCAGAACTAAAGCGCATTGTGTGTAGCAATGGCCGACAGTTGTTCCCGAGAGACCTGATATCCTTGAATACCAGTGGAAAAATGTGACATCCCACATAAATGAACCCAAAAAGACCAGTAAAACGCATATTGTTTACTCTGTTCCTGAGTTAGATTTCATATGGAATTAAGTTTCCAAAAGATGTGTCTGCCCCTTCCAGTTCTTGAGTTCGTCGCTGAATATTATAGTTTCTATGTGAAAATTAAAATAAAACAATGTATTTTTCGATTTACAATAGAATCTTTAAAACTTACAGAGATACCTTCAAACTTTTCATAAATGGAACATAAAAAGGGTACTTTTAATCATTTCAAAAATGTATATTTGTACATCGTTCAAAAAATTTACATTTTATTTGTTAATGATAACACAAGAGTAATAATGTATGTTACTTACCCGAAAGTCCAGTAATGAAGATACCAAGAGCTGCAAAGAATCCGTAGTACCAAAAAATTACAACGCTTAAAAGAAGGGTGATGGTTGATAAAGCTCCCAATTTGTACAATATCTCTTTCAAGATTTGAAACATATCGTCTAATAACATAATAAATCTAAGCGCACTATTTACACGAAATGTGTAAGAATATAAAAGGCACTAGAGTTCGCTAAGTTTTAGAAGCAATAAAAGTAATTTATTCTTTTAATTATTGTGTATATTTTAACTAAAACAATGAAAAAGCCACGCTTAACTTTAATTTTAAATGCCAACATATGTCCAAGGTAGAACTTGTCGTTGTGTTTCGTCTTGATAACCGCGAAGCGTATAAATAACAGAATTCGTTTGACAAGTTTGACAATACCCTATCAGTGCTGCCAGCAGTGTGCCTTGAAAATTTTCTGTAGACATTTTTTTTATAAAAAATCTTCATACGATCTTAAAAATGCACAAAAACTATAAAATAGTCATGAAGTCTTTTGGTGTCACTGACAACCAAAACAAACTTATGCTGTTAAGCATGTGATCCAGTAACTAACAAAACCGTTAGTCCGCCAACAAAACCGCGAGCCAAACCGCCAATAGAGCACTTAAATGTCCGCGCACTGGATAGCTGTATACAAACCCTCTAATTGCACATTACTATAAAACTCGGCTACCCTTATTGTATTTATTTCATTTGATTTTATGCAACAATTTTCACGGGATAATTTCCATGCATTATTTATAAATAACCTTGAATTTCCTCTCGCGAAACCCTGGTTTAATTTTTTTAAATCTCAGCGTTATAGAGGAAATTAAAAAGGACTACGCCACGATATTGTTTCAGCGTTTTGGTCTTTAACGCTAATAAAAAAGTTACCACACAAGGTGGCTATATAAAATTCTTATCAACTTTCAAGGAATCAAAAAGCAATAGATTTTTAATAGTTATTTATTTACATTGTAAACGGTAAAAGAATTATGTTACTAACACATTTTTCAAATCGTAAGTAACAACTTAAAACAAATGTGATGATAGTTTATCTGTGTTTCCTAAATTGGCATAATTCCCATAGTAGGGATAGCATCACTTAAAAATAGATTAAAAATGTTTTAGATCGACAGTTACAATTCCTTAATTAACACACTTTATTATACTGATATGTTATTTATTAATACATGTTTAATTTGCTAATTTTTTTATAAAGATTGTGTAAATTTTTCTAAACTTACGTTACTACTGATACTGTTACATGAATATAAAGTCTATTTTTTAATTAGTAGGCCTAAATTGACACATGCAAATGTTAAATTTCAAAATAATGTAAGCATTTTTATGCAGTGCTATACGTTGATACTGGTTTGCTAAATCGTAACTTTTAACTTTAAAAGGTGCTTAGATTAATGTTAATATTACTATAATTATGACAATTCGGCAGTTTTGTATATTGTATCCATACGGCTAAATAAATTATCTTGATCTGAAAAATAACTGTTTTTAATTATTAAAAAAAATAGTAATTGTAATATTACAATTTTTCATGATAATTATCACAAACAAACGAAACAGACATTTTTTAAATTTACGTTTTTTACGGTAATGGCAAGTATGGACACATTTAAGTGCAGAAATCTGGCAACACATGTCATTTTAGTGTCTCTAATTTAAAAAATGGACTTTAGGTTACTTTTTTTGTACGATGGTCAAGTTTAGGAAACACTGATATTTGAAATAGGGCTACATTTTCTGAGGTACAATAGAACTCAATAGGAGCATTCCATTTAATTAAATTATGTGTTTCTCATTTAAAATAATGCTTGCAATTGTATAGTATACATAAAAAGATAAAACATCTGTGATTACTTTTTACATTGTACTTGTTACAGTTTATAATATAAATATAAAATTAGTCAATCACTGTTTAAGTGGAAACCTTGATACAAAAACAACTAGTTAATCAATTAAAATACATCTCAAATCACTTTAGATAAACTATGTTAGTATTTTAGTTAGCTATAATTTATTTTAAAAATATTATACATTGATTTCGATACTCGATTTTTAACATACAAAAAGCTAATACGAAAATATAAAAATTATTTCTTAATATTACACACGATTTCTCTATTTGTAGAATGTCACCATAGGCTTGAAATCTTCATGTATGTGGTAACATTCAAGTGTTGTTTAATGGGTTTCCATTGTAGAAACAGGTACAAAGACTTATCTCAAAACAAGAAGTATGACAAAATATTTTGTTTTTTTTTTATAAATGATAGTCATATGAACATGTACAGACTATAAATATAAAATTGATAGATTATATCATAATTATTAGTGATGTATTGAAAAAGCTTACAGCTAAAAAAAATTCATAAACTACAAATTACAACAACAAAAAAAGAAAACAGAAAAAAAATTGCATTTAACTATACTATAAAAGCGTTTGCCATATTACTATGTAATTTCAACCGTTGTAATACATACAAACAATATTGTTGGTTGTTTTCAAAGTGAATAAAAGGATGGCAATATTGTTGAAAAAATGTGTTACAACAGTGGAAACTCACAGTTTGTGATACTATTCATTGTTTTTAAGTTTCTTATACTCTGTAAAGAGGTCTTTTATATCCTTCAGAGACCTTTCGATTTGTTTCACAAAGTTGCTTGAGCTCTGAAAAAAAGAAAATATATTTATAAATATGTTAAAAAAAAATAGTAATAAATAATTCCTGAATTGAAATGTAAAAGATGGCATCTATGGAATTTGAAGCATACATATTTATAAAAGTTTTCGCAGCCGTACAGTAGCAAATGTATATTAAGTAATTAGTTGTTATATTACTAGCTTTCGCCCGCGACTCCGTCCGCGCGGAATTAAAAAAAGACATAATTAGTAGCCTATGTTTTCTTTAAGACTACATTTTATATGTATGCCAAATTTCATCGAGATCGGTTCAGCCGTCCTGGAGATACCTTCAAACAAACATCCATCCATCCATCCATTTAAACATTCGCATTTATAATATTAGTATGAAGATATAAACAGCTTCTCAAATAAATTGTGGGAATGAATGATCATGAACGAAATGTAAATGTAGAGAAGTACATAAAGCATTTAATTAGTAAAAAAAAACTATGTTTTTGAATTATGGTGAGCATTATTTATTTGATAATTATGCTTACCGTTATTGGGCAACTCTTCTTGCTCGATACATGGAAGAATATAGTATCTTCGCCAACAATAATGTATGAAACACCGTAACCGTCGTCCGCAACAGGTCCGAAGCCGCCGCCTGCGCTTACGCATTTCGGATACTTCTTCATATCCAACATGCTTGTTTGACCTGGAAATAAATATTTTTGTAATTCACAAATTATTCTTTTTTGTAAAAATCAAAAGAAATTTAGAAATGTTAATTTCTTAGTCCTGTGAATAAAATGGATTTACATGTTTGTGTTTTACTTATTTTCATGTGGGTTTTCACTGCTGAAACATCTTAAGTAGATTTATCATCTACCTAGCTGAAAACTGATCAAAACAACCTTCTCACATTACAGTTTACAAGTTAGGATTAGGACAGTGGATTTGGTATTTAAGTTAGCTTATTTTATGTATGTATATATTTGAAATTTATATGTTAATATATGTATAGTAAGAAATAAGATATAATTTGTTATATACCGTGTGGTGTTTGACTAGTTGATAGTCGCCACGGTTCATTGAAGACTTCTTGTAAGAAAGGCGAGTCAAGTTCCAGATATTTGGAGACAACATAAAGACAGAATAGGTGACGGTCGATGCCCCTTCCCGCCATCGCATCCTGGTAGCCAAGTTGGTGACGTTTGCTTGCCTTTACAAATAGCTGCATACGTTCTTCAACCTGAAATTAGTTACAAATATTAAATTTTCATTTCTAACCTAAACCACAAAACAGATTGCGGCGAAACTTTACTAGCATATTTCACTGTGGCTTATGACTGCAAATACACAAATCAAGCCAGCTACACACTTTCAATATTTATTGCATAGTCGGACTGTACTAAGAGCTGAAAGTGTGTAGCCAGCTTAAGCCTCTATTTGAAAAAATAAAGTCAATATGTGCTAACATATGTGTCACTGTAGATGAAACCCACAGTAATAATCAAAGAATTAAAAAAAAAAATCTTATCTTACGGTTGCATTAGGATCTTCCATAGCGCGGACCCAGGCGGTGCTCTCGATGGTACAGGAGCGGACAGTTTCAGTCCGGCCTTCACGGAACAAGCGTGTCATTGAAGCTTCGTAGGTGAGGCAGAAGCGACCAGCGTCCCTATAATACGACAGCTGCAGTAACAGCTGGATGAAAGCGTCCGGAGACACGCGGCAACTTTTCATGAAGCCTGCAAATAAATAAAAAATAATAGCATTCGATAAGAGTCGCTGCTATCGCTTTTGGTTCTGTCAGATATTTATATAAAATCTACTTAGACATACAATATAATATAAAAGTAAAATTACGTGACAGCCACAGTACAAACAGGATCTTGTGACATTTTTTGATTTTGACAGAGTGGCGCTAGTGAGCTGTTATAATTTAGTATGACTTTCAATGTTTCAGATAACCTAGTCGGCCTGTACCTATTTATTCACCCTACTGACATGAAGGTTATGGTTTTGCATGCATATATTGTATTATCAATGGCATTGTAAATGCCTGTAGTCTAAATAATTGAGCATTTTAATTTTATCGATTGAAATTATGATCTTACCTTTTCCATATTGGGTGTATGTTAGAATACGTAAATCAACATCATTGAGTAAATTCTGGGCAATATTATAAGAAACGTCGATTCCTTTCATTATTTCTTCTTTGTTCAAATCCCATTGCAATCTTATTGGTGGCGGAGGAGCGGTTTCTATAATACCATGTGTGTTGCCCTCCGCTGTATAACTAAAAGCAGACATACATATAAGTATTTTGATATTTAAACGTCTTTACTTTTAAGAGAAATTGTTTAATAATTACCCGTTCTGTAATTCTGACCAGATAACATATTCCCAAAGATGACCCATTACAGGTGCATCCGCCCTGCAAACAAATTAATTAATATGAAACAAATTATTACACTGATGTATTCTTGGTCAAATGTGCTACTTTGAATATTTTTTTTAATTGATAAAATTATTATTCAATATATTATATGTCGATTACGATCGATTAAATGGTCGATATTACTATTCGATACTGCTTTGATCAGTCACACTGGCGCGGGCGCTGCCTGTTACTTGTCAAAGGACCACACGCATTACTGACAGATACAGTGACACTGACAGACGTCAATCACACCGTTCAAGCGATGTTGCCATTCGAATAAAATAATAAACGCCATAAATTAATATTGTCCGAATTGTTTATTATTTAAATAAGGATGTAATTGAAATGAATAAATATTTTATTATAATTTGTTAAAATGCATTAATATTTTAATATTTCGCTCACCAAGTATGCTCAGCATTGAATCCAACCTGTGAAAATAAATGAAATAATTTCAATTAACTCGAGTTTTCTATAACAAAAAACCATAAAAAATCATACTGTTTTCTCTGTTTTATTCAAGATAAATGTGAGGGATGACAATATGTATTTTTTTACAAAACACATGTAACATTTGCTGAAGCATTTATTTAAATATTTAATATAATTATCCCAGAATATTTGTAATAGCATACACTATTATAAAACAATACTTACGAAGCCATTCTTGCTGAAGCACAGGTTAAAAGATTTGTCGAACCAACGATCATGTCCCTGACCGTGCAACAGTACACGACAATATTCATCTAATTTGCTAGGATTCTTCTCGTCATATCCATAATCTTTATCATCTGTGAAATCAAATATTTTCTTAATACCAGTTACTAGATAGATAAATATAATAGGAACATTACAGCTTCCACTGCCAGAACAACAGTTATACAATAATAGATTAACCGTGGGTTGTTGAGACCAGCACCTCTATCATCATCAGAGACAATTATAAGGTTTAATCAAGGATTTTGGTCTCAGAAATCCACGATTACGTGTCCAAAAATAATAAAAAGGCAGAAAATATTGTTTGAGTGCAAACTCATCGTAGAATTAATGACAAACATAACAGTGAAATATGAACATACCAAGGCATACATTGAAAGCAGCTCTTTCAATGCAATGCAGAGAGGTGCGGTTGTGCCCTCTATTGAACCATGTCTGTCGTATATGTGCCCAGTGTGACCTTTCCCCAGCAGTTAAAGCAGCAACCCGCTCTTCCCCTATCATTGGCTCTGATTTATTATGAAGGATTTGTTCGATTTGACTAAACATGTAAAAGAAAAATAATATTACAATTAGTAAATCATCAACATGTCTTCAGAGGCGAGTCTACCCTAAGTTAGATGTGACTAGGCATTAGTCAGTCAGTCACACCGGCTCAGTGCGAACCTCAATGTATCAATTGACTATAGGTTCTAATAACTAAAAGGGCACATTCTTTGCTAAAATGACTTTAGCATTCTTCTATAATTATTATGTAAATTAATTTTCATTAGTAATAATTATATTTAACCTCATATAAATTATAATTGGACATGGTTGTTTTAGCTCTATTTTAGCTGTAATTTATTTAAATCTTCTTTATGTATGTCTACCATAGTTTATCACAGTTCTACTTTTCTTATTGATGTTATAAATGTGAATGTTAAGATGGATCATCATCATCATCAGCTCGGAGCCTAACCTAAGTTAAAGGTGATTCGGCCGTAGTCAACTACGCTGGCCAAGTGCGGGTTGGTCGGTGGTTTAGGTGGACAGATGTTTTTTATTAGGTGTCACCAAAACAGCTAAACGGATCTCACTGTAATTTGACATAGACATAGAACACGGTCTGGAAAAATACATAGGCTACTAATAAAGTTTTTTTATTTCGTCGCGGACGGAGTCGCAGTCGACAGCTAGTTATAAAAGGCACCACCCAGTAGGAAAGAGATAATGAAATTTGCTTAATAATGAGTGATTAGATTACCGAATCAGGAAATAAATTCGATTAAATACTTAGTTATTAATCAAATTAAAATTAATCTTATCTTGTCAATTCTAATATTAATCAATATTTAAATAGGCTACAGTATTTAGCAGTATATGTTTCGTATTTTAAAATTTACATACACATGTAAGCGTTCAAGATTTTAAAAATTCTCTGATAATTTCTAAATTGTAAAGCACAATAGTTTTTTTTATTGCATTGTCAAGATTCAAATTTTATTTAGATTTTGTAGAAGAGAATTTTGGCACACGTGTTGTAATCTGCTTATCTAGATTAGATTCAGGGTCCTATCGTATTGTTATTTTTTTTTACTATAGAAGATAGAAGCTCGTGGTATAATAATGTCTAGTGATATCTATTTTGAGCAAGTCTTTTGTTCAAGATTATACACGAGTTGCATTAAAATTTGATTATTATTATTGATTTTTATTAATGTAAGATTATTTTTAAACAGATGCTACTAGTATTGTTTTTCTTTTGATATTAGTAGTCTTACTAACATTATAAATGCGAATGTTTGGATGTTTGTTCGAAGGTATCTCCGGAACAGCTGAACGAATCTCGTTAAAATTTGACATAGATGTAGATCATAGACTGGAAGCACACATAGGCTACTAATTGGGATTTTTTTTTAATTCCGCACGGACGAAGTCACGGGTGACAACTAGTTTTTAATAAATTCTTGTGATAATATATGAATGATACATAACCAAGGCATGTTTACATAACTTCGATTGATAACATTGAATCAATTAGTAATGCTACGCAATTTAATTGTTTACTTGAACTACGCTACGAGTTGTGTAATTTATATCAGGAAATTAATTGTATACAATAATTATAGCAAATGTATATTAAACGTTTTACAATTTGTTGCTTGTGAAATTACTAAATCAATTAAATAATATAAATCTTTGATGTGTTACGAAATGTATAATGATTTTTGAATGATTATTTTCATATTAATGTTGGTAAGCTTCTAGGAGTCAAGAAGTAAAAAAAAAACTAGACTACTTTACGCACCACATTTTAAAAATTCAAGGCATTTAGCACATGAAAAGTGTAATTATTATATCTTTTATTGTATTTCATCTTTTTTAGAAGATTAGCTGTTGCTCGCGACTTCGTCGACAAAACAACTCGATTAATAACCTATGTGTTCTTTAGGCTATGGTCTACATCCATGTCAAATTCTAGTGAGATGCATGCAGCCTTTCTGGTGATACCTTCTAACAAACATCCATCCATACATTCTCATTTATAATATTAGTAAGACTGAATTTCAACTTGATTTATTGAGCCGTTTTGTAGTTATGTGACAACAAACACTCATACATTCATACATCCAATATATTAACATATGTGAAATTGGAAACTCACCGTTGTATTTCTACAGGTTTGAGCAGCCTGCCTCTTGAGTAGACCATCAGTTTAAAATAACGACCCTTATGGTAAACGGTGACATGGGTGGAATCCTGATAGTGAACCAACTTGTCCGTCTCTACTCCGGGAACGCGCACCGTATTGAACAGACGTTCATATTGCCATGAGCACAATGGTACCATATTTTGAAGCATTATCTGGAAGTAAATACATGACAATAATGACACAATAAGAAAATTCACAATTTTTTTGTTCATATTATTTTGTTATTTACTTTCAATACTCTTATCATCTACTCTAGAGCGTCTCCAGATGATCTAGACTAGATCTAAGTTGGTAGGTAAGATACAAATCTTTAGTTAATTCCAAAGCTAATGCTTATCAGCTAGGGAATGGAAAATGACAAGTAGTTTTTGAATTATCTATATGAATCTATAGGAATAAATATCTAATATTAATATCTTAGGGCATATACTTATAGGCAGTTGCCTGGGTCTTGTAACAATTAAAACATATGAACGAATTAAACCTCTTATGAAATTCGGTTAGAAATTAGACTTATGTCGTTATGTCCAATAGTTACCGGTTCCAATTCCTGTCGTTCGATCAATCTTCTGAATTGTAGACAGAAGTGTATTATAGCGCCGGCTCTCGCTGCCTGGTTTGTTGTAGGTCTAAGTAAGATGGCATCAGTTCCGTAGAAGTTTGAGTTGACCATCAATGGAGAGCGACCTCGCAAGTACACGTATTCCTCCCACCAATCTGACACGTAGTTGCTAGACCACCTGCATTCATTACAATCGCCTTTGAGTAACTGAAGTAACCTTGGGTTTCCATTGAAGCAATCGTACATATTATCTACTAGCTATCGCCCGTGGCTCCGACCACGCGGAATTTAAAAAAAGTTAATTAGTAGCCTATGTGTGTTTCCAAGCTATGTGTACATCTATGCTAAATTTCAGCGAGATCCATACAGTCGTTCTGGAGATACCTTCTAACAAACATCCATCCATCTGGACATTCGCATTTATGATATTAGTTAGATATCTACACAATAACAAAATTGGAGACTCTTTGCGTTATATCTAAAAAATCCTATATATTTCGTACACATACTTTAATTATTTGCGTTGCTTGTAACAAAAATTGGATTGCTTGAGTTTTTTGTCTGTCTGTCTGACTGACTGTCGTCAAATCTACGTTTGTAAAACTCGTAAACATAGTTATCAATGAAAAAATTATACAAATATTGGGATGTAATACGTTACCATGATTTTAAAATGAGGTATCTTTGTAATTTAACAGCTATCGTCTCTTCGAATTCCTTAGCAAGTCTTTCAACTCGTTGGTAATTTTCATCATCTAATAACGGACGGACACTATTCAGGTACTGAAATATTAAATTAATAAGTTTATTTCATCATCATCAAACTGCCATTATCCCTATCGAGGGTCGGCACAGTATGTACTACTCCATACATCTCTATCATATCCGAATCTACCCCCTTCCTATGCATATCCCCTTTTTAAATTGAAGTTTATTTTTAATTAAAAATTAAACTACATCTTATTTGATTTATATCTTTCACAGCAGTGGCCATATTCATATAGAAGAAATGACTGATGAAATGAGCTAGAATATAAATTATTACTTTATTTTAATCATCAAATAATAGTCATAAAACATAACAAGATATAGTAATAGAGATATAGTTTATCTTATTATAAAAGAAAAATAAACTCACCCTTTTCATAGTATCTTTAACAGATGGCAATGGAAGTCTTGGCAGGGATCCTTGGAAGCTGTATAGCCTAGGTTTGTTCCATCCAGACAGAACTTTAACAATACTAACCCATAGCATTGTTTTAAAAGATATCCTTGCTCCGGGAGCTCGAGATTCATACATCCAGCCCTATAAAGATTATTATTATTTAAGAAAGTAAAGTTTAAATAATGTAATGATTTTGAACAACTAGAGTTTTGAGACATCAATAAGACTGAGTGTAACCTTTTAACAGCTCTGATGTACTTGAATAATCGAATTAACACTTTCAGTGTTGTCGACTTCAATGAAAAGTATAAAAGAAAAAAAAAGCAAATCGTTTGGAATGTATTAAACTAAGCTATTTAAAATGAATCGAGGACTAAAAAGTGTCAGTTTTGATCGCGTATGTCGATGTACTCTAGTTCGTAAGCAAAAAAATACAAATGACGAAAATAAATATGAAAAATTATATAAATTACCTTATACATGAGTAAAACTTTAAGGAGATACCGCATCAGGAATATGACTGATAACCACATTGTAAGAGCTGCCAATAAGCAAGCTATGACTTGCCACATTGTTGATGTCCTATATATGAAAAAAACAAAGCTATTATATTTACTTATATGTTTAACTATCGTGTTACAAGTTCAACATATAAGTTAAATATTAGCAAAAAAATGTAATGATATGCAAAAGAATATGCTTGTAAAATAATTAAAATGTAATAAATGAGGTCATTTGAAATATTTAATTGAAAAAAAAATTACCCAGGCAAAACCGATAATGCTTTTTGTACTAATCCAAAAGGTATATTAAAGCCGCCAAAATGTGTTGCCACAAGTAACGCCCATAAGACGTAGAGGGATTGAAGATGGCCCGGGTAAACGCCATTGCTTACGCTGTTCTGTAAAATAAATAAGAAAAAAAAACTTATACATATAGACAAGGCTATAAATAATAAGTGCCAGTTATAATAAAAAAAAATTTAATACCTTGAAATTGTAAAAATTCAACTTTCCAAGTTCGAAATGAAAACAATTCAACATTTTAAATGCCGTAATTATAACTTAATATATACGACGTTTATATTAATTTTTAAACACAAGTTAAAATTAACTAACTATATTTAACAAACCAAGTTTCTTTATTCTTAAAGAACGACAGACACATTGTCAGTTCTTAGAGTGAACAGTATTTTTCAAAAGTTCGCATATCAATGTCGTCTTTTCACAATAAGCTTGTCCTATGGTCTGAATACATTACAAAATCTGATGCCATTTTCACACGGAGACGGAACAGAGAGGTAGAGCAGAAAACTGTGCAGTACGCACACACCCGAGACGGAACAGTACCCCGTATACTGATATATACCTCATTGATATTTCCACGTGTGAAACTGGCATAAGTAATTTGCAAACTATATCTGCATGAATAAGTAATGTAAAAAGATCTTAAAATAGTTGGTGGCATACACGCGAATTATTTACGAACAATCAATACTGGTAATAGATTGTAAAATTGTTTTACAAATGTTATGTACTATTTACATTGACAGCGTCCCGTGCCATAGAAACAGCAGGTACTTCCAGTTGCATAAATCTTACGAAGTAGACGAATTTACTTGCCTGATCGAAGAAAGCAATGAGCATAAAAGCGGTCACTGGGAGTCTGTCGATTACTACATAATGCACATTGAAATGTGCACGCGTATTGTGTGAGTAATCAAAATATTACTTAATATTGAAACGCGCGAAGCTTAGTCCACAAAAGATGTTCGAACACAACAACTCGCGTCAAAGGATCCACCGGAACCGGCAATTGCATCGTGAATAGTGGTCAAGGAGCGCACTTATAACACCAATCACGTGTTTATTGGACGTTAAACGTGTTGTGTAACCAGACTACGCTACACAACAGTTTACCTATAATAAACACCAGTAATTGAGGATGGACCGAGCCAACTTGTTATTGGACTTCGCAGATTCAATGGTCAAGTGACAGTTACATCTCAAAACTTAGGGATGGTGCTATAAAATATATCGAAGTACTTTTTAGTATTTTCCGTAAATTATTTATTATTCTAAAGATGTTTTGGATATAAGTTGTGCATAATATCCGTCATTACGGTTGGTGCGAAGATCGAATTCAGGTTACTCGCAAATAAAATTGCACGCGACAAATGTTTGACCTAAAAAATCCCCCAATATCTAGTCGAGGTTAATGTTACATATCCTTATTATTATCAAAATTACTGAACGAATAAAGGAACGTTCTTTGTGCGGATCTAAGCCAGAAAACATGTATTAAATACTGTCACAACACACATATATCCTATATCATCTAATAATCTAAACAGTGTAAAGTAAGATAATATTTGACAATCTCATTTAAATAGTTTATTATATGACCTGCCAATGTAAATATTATTTGTTTGTTTTATTTAAGATAGTGGTCTATTACTTTAATAGCTTGATCACGGATTTATTTAACAATTTTAACCGTTTCACTGCTATTTTTGAATTTTTACCTTAAATTGTAGAACCGTTGTCATGTGTTCGTATGTTGCAGCAACTATGTAAATTGTACAACCTACTATATATATTTTAACAATAAAAAAAACATAAAATACAAACCCTGAATCGCGCCAATCGTTTCTTCCAAGATCTGAGGCCAGATTCCCACACCAAATAGAGCACCTCCCGATCAAAGTTGACGTCCCATCCGTCGTGGGTAATTGCGAAAGAGAACGCGACCGCCGAGTGCGCTTCCGCCATCTTGAATTGGCTTCACTCGACCTCAACCTGTACGGTATAATTTGTTTACAATCTAGATTCTTAAAACACAAAGAAAATATTAAATAAAACGCGTAGTGATAAGACACATATTGATTTATTCCACACTGCTACAAAAAATGTATCCAACCATTTTCAAAGAAAAACGTTAAGATGATTGCTTGATAAATGTCATTACTTAAATTATTATATTGATAAATAGATGTACCTCGCTTTTTTGCACGCAAGCGTTAAGTATATTAAGTTAAAAACAAGTTTCGCGTTATGCAATACAAATGTACATTTTATTCGAAAAGCACGATAATTCGATTATGTTTCTTATAACGCAAAGACCAATAAATAGCAAGCAGTCTGATAAATACTTATTAGAACAATGAAATGAAGACCTAAGAAATAACTATCAGTGCAGAATTAATCAGAAAAACTTTTAGGTATTCCTTCAATCTGTTCTAGTGCCTATAATAAGAAATCCACATCCAATCTATATGTTTGATATCAGCTATCTGATAACCTAACATAGTTTAGCCACCTCTATACGTTGCATAGATCGATAGGAGTATCGTACTTTTAGTGTTACTTTGTATGGGAAAATTTGAAATATTCAAATGCCATACGTTTACATAAAGTTGTTTGTTCTTAAATAATAATTTTACAATTCACTATATTGTTAATTATATTTATAATGTGTAAAATACTCAACATACGTGAAATGTTTTGGCAAAAATATTTCAACATTTAAGTATCAAAATCAAAGCTTTTAATTTACCAATTAGATTATAGGCTGTTTCTTAATTTCGTAGTTAAAATACATAGGAAAGTTAAATGTTAAATATTAAATATCAAACACGAGACTAATCTATATGGTCTTGATTCTACGTTAATTAGTGAAAAGATAGTTAATTAGCTGATAATAAATTGCGTCACTAAACGGACGTTTCTATTCGGTTCATCAGTTAATTAATCTATAGAACGTTATTATGTATTTATCACTATAATATTTCCGATATCGCACACGTGGAATACTCTTAGAGGCATAGATAATGGATGTTACAATATTTATTTTTACTATCTCTGCATCTAGTTCAAATCAAACTTTCCTATCTTGTTTTTGATGACATCTAGTTTTTAGTTATTTGGTACAATTTAATTGTGTTTCGATCTAGACTAAAAAAATCACAATCGAATAGACCCTTCTTTTGTAATATAATCCAACTTGATGGCGTTTTTTTTCTCGAATAACATTTTTTTATTCAATAAACCTCAAAGTTGTTGACATATAAATGTATTATATCCGCCATTTTGTTTGTGTAAATAAAATAAAAAACGTACTGAGACTCATGAGACGCGAAGCTTTGTTTATCAGAATTCAAAGTCTTTTACAAAAACAATTAATAAAAAAGATAAAAACTGGTATTTAGATCTGCTAAGCGACGGGACAATACAATTTTTATACAGTTGTTTTGTCAGTGGAAGCTCACCGCAAAGCATATACGATATGTAGTACACATTCAATACGAAATTAATTATCATTAAGTAACAAGAATCGTACTTAATGTCTGTGTACAAGTATCATATTAAAACGATTCACTTTATAATCGTATTACTTGCATACCTTAAACAAAATTAGCTTAAAACAATGCCAAGATTCAATTGTTTCAATAGATCATAAGGTTACGTGAACTTGTTCAGTTCTACGTCGCCACACCAAATGATATTAACCTTAAAACAATTATTAACAAACAAACTGGTATTTTATTTAATATAACCAGTAGTCGTCTTTTGATCGAAATTTGACAATTGTTTAAATCTAATATTTTTTTTTATAATAAATTGCTTTGTTCTCATTTTAAATTTAAAATTGTCTTTAATACACTTCTTAGCGCAATTTCCTTGAAAAGAGGTACAAAGTTTACGCTTCACGCACATGTTTATATAATATAATTATGTATAAATTACTTATCTTTGGTTTCTGACAACAAAATCCTTATTTAAATATTGTTCTCTCTGTTTTGTCAAAGATAATGAGTGGGATGACGATATATTTGGTCTCAGAAAACAATGATAAGAAAAACATATAATATACTAAACTTAACAAATTAAGTTGTAAATAAGTTATAAGAAAGAGGAAAAGTAGTAGAAATGAAAATATATTTTAAATCTTTGTGTATTTATATAAAAGTGTGAAATGCATAAAAATTGAACTCATTAAACCACACTTATAAATGAGTATAATAGAATTAATTTACTACGGTAATTACTTTTCGCGAAGTCAATAATTAAAACTTAAAAATAATAAATCAAGAAATTACCTTTAAGACACCAAGATTACTTTTAAAATACCTTTAAATTGTTCTGTACTATACTATACCTAACACATTTTCAAAAAAAAAATAATAACAAAACTGAGATTGTCAAAACTTTGTCTCATTATGAGAAGTCAATTCAGGCCAACATATATTAAAAATGTTTATTGTAATATAAGATATATGGATAGACAAAAAACAAATAGTCATCATGAAAACTATTATCAAATTATTATTGAGACGGTCTAGTTCTACTGTGTGTGTGTGTGCGTGTGTATTTGATAAGACTTATCAATAATCTAAGAGGGCAAAATTAAATATATAATAGAATAAATAATATATCCTCGTTGATATCATGCTAATGTTATAAATGCGAATGTTTGTATGGGTGGATAGATGTTTGTTTGACTGTATCTCCTAAACGGCTGAATGGATTTCAATTAAATTTGGCATTCATATAGAACATAGTCTGGAAGAATACATAGGCTACAAATTATATATAAATATTAATCAGCTGTTTGTATTTGGAAAATGTAATTAATTTCTATTTAAATATTTTAGTAGTGTCTTTAAGTAGCATTTTAATTATTTAACTCAAACTTAAAAAATGTTGCAACAAAACATATTAAACTTACAAAACATTCATATAAACCTCACATATTTCCGTAAGGATTAGTTTTTATAAGTTAATAATTTAGAAACAATTCCAAGCAATAACAGAAAGTCTATATTTAATAATTTCGCCAATACTTCAGTAATTAAACATTATTCCTTTAGTAAATCATAGTACTATTTGCTTTGCCAAGTGTTTTTTTTTAATATTTTTTCATATCATATTAAAATTTGAGTTGTGATGCAAACCATTTTGGACCTATCCTATTAGATAAAGGTAACATTAATACAATTTAAAAACAAGTTAAATTGCCTAAAATAAAAGAGAAATCGTTTCTATCACACACAGCCACACAAACACAATACACTGACATAATTATATAAATATTAAACACGTTCGCAGTGGCACACGCACACACGCAAAGCTGGTGTCAAAGTCTAAACTCGAGGCACTCTCCATGAATATACGTGGATTTTATAATTAATATGCCCACGGTATGCAGTCAAAAACAGTATTTAATTTTCACTTGTACTGAACACGTCACACAACGATCTTATAACAATTGTTTGAAATTATGAAAAAAATTAAATATTACTTGTATATTAAAATAAACTATAAAGGTAAATACAATAAAAATTCTCACCTGCCTAACTTCTGGGTAGATAGAGACGAACAGCTCGTTAGCTTAGTATACAGTTGCCACAATTTAGTTTGGAAATAGGTACTGTTATAATAACAGTACCTTTTTGGTTATTATTTATATACCACTATTTATCATTGTGTAGCGAGATGTCTACCTGTTCTATATTACTTATTTTAAAGAAATATCGTTTTCCCTCAAAAATACTAGTAACTGAACATTAAACCTAATAAATGTAGGAATTAATAATACGAAAGTAGGCTAATACTTATTTCATCAAAAGTTAGCACAGCCAAAGAACAGCGCCTAAAACGAATGAGGAGCGAGGTCGTGTGAATTTAGTATTGCCAGACAGCGAACAAATAAATTATTTTGTTTTGTTGCCAACAACAAACAGATTAACCCGCGGATGTGAGATAAGACGAAAAAAACAATTATTTAAATAAACTAATACAAGCGCGACGATGATTGAATTTATAAGATATATTTATTTCACTTCTTCAAAAAAAAAATTATGCGTAAAATAGACTGTTAAAAGCTGAAGCGTCGGGGAGGCGCCATTGTCAAACAAACGTCATTTAAGAAAGTAAATAATGAAGAATAATAAGAACATTATTTATAAATAAGAAAAGATATACTCTGAATTAAATATGTACCACAACACATAAATCATAATCGTTGAATATCATATATGATAAATTCCATTTTATAGTTACTTGAATGAGGCTGTTTATTCGATTAATACTGTTGATTAAAGCAACGCACACTGCTGTTTGTCTTAGTAAAAATATTTTACAATGAGTTTGCGTTCATTGTCTAAAGGGAGATTTCTAATCTCAATTTTAATATTTATATTCTTTCTCTGGATTGCTTATTTATATTTGAATAGTCTACAGTTAGATTATAATAGTACTGAATCTGGAAACCGTTGTATGTCTGAACTGTCATCAATAAAATATCAACTAAATGGTAAATAAACTAGTATTTAACTTGAAAAACTAAGAAGCCTGGCTGACATAATGTCTATTTTACTTAGTGGAATGATAACTTTGTGATGAAGATTGTATTATCATACACTAATATCTTAGTATTTATTAATAAAGGCATTCACAATTAAATAAATAAACAAACTGCTTCTACATATAAAATCACATTAAAAAATTATGCTCTTATCAGTTGGGTATAATAGACTGTATTTGTATGTTAAAGAATAATTACTAATAAACATTTTATATTTAGTTGTTACAGAATACAAGAACCGTATCGATAGATTGTTAACAGAGACTCAAAAAGCCCGGGAAGCAGATAAGGAGAGGTACAAAGATATATTAGAAAGTTGTGGAGCAATGAAACAACACATAGCAATATGTCAGGTATTTAAACTTTTTATTATCCGCCTCAATCTTTATGCTAAAGTAGGATTTATAATATATACTATTTTAAATGAATTTAGAAGGGTTGCATATTTCTCTCAACCATTTTATTTTAACTTTTACCTTGTGCAATTTTGTGGTTCATGACAATAGTTGAATGTCATATTCATACCTACAATGGCAAATTCAGATGTCTGCACCCTTAACTACTTGCTTAATCTAAACATTCGCTATTTTAATATTATATAATAATATAAAACCGACAATAAAATTGATTAGACATTTGAAACATTAGAAAATTAAAACATTGTTTACTTTCAGAGTCAATTTGAAGATCTACTAAGTGAATGCAAAAGAGTTAAGGAGGATTATGACAAATTGAGGAAAGATACAGAAAAGGTCAAAACATCTTGATGATTTGATCTTTTTTTATTTATCATTTAAATAAAATAATTAATTTGTAAGTTATATTAATAACCCTGAAAATGGATGTATTGTACAAATAATTCTATTAATAATAAGAACACAGTGAATATTTTGGCTGTGAGAAGAAACGGTTATACAAGTAAGAAATATGTATTTTTGTATTTAAAATAAAAAAGTAATTTAAAATATATTTTAAAAGTCATTTTTAATACTGACAATACATTGAGATATAAATTAACATTCTACATGTAATTTTTTTAATTATTAATAAATAAAATATGTTTAACATATATAAGATAATAAGTGTAAGTGATATTTATAATTTCAAATATATAAATATTGTAGGCATAAATTTTATTTTACATTAAATTAATAAATAAACATATTTCCCATAAATGCTAAAAGATTGTTTATTTCATCATTATACATAATATTAATATGTCTTGGAGTGAAAACTTGAGTTTGTATTTCTTTATTAGGACATTGCGGAGTAGGATAAACTGATTATGTTAAAAAAAAAATATTGTGCGACCACTGGTTCTGAATATTTATTCACCTTTATCTGTAATATAAACATTTGACACACTCTAAACTTATGCCCAGTCTAGACATACCCGGATCTTGATAAGGAAATTGTAATTTAATAGTATATTTATCTAATCATAAATTATGTATGTGAGTATGTGTTTTAGTTCACTATGTCATGTCAACACCAGCTTATAAAGTGCTCTGCTTTTATGTATGTTTGTAACTCTGGGTTTTTGATACCAAAATCTTCGTTTGAAATATATTGTTAGCCGTGTTTTGTCAAAAATAATAGAAGGTATGACGATGCTTTATGCCGAGATTTTGGTCTCAGAAACTCACGGTAAATTAATTATTTGGATACAAAACAAAATCACTATTTAAAGTAATTTTAATATAATTCTATTTTTATATAATCTATTCTAAAATAAATCTTAATATAAACTAATCGTGATTTATTTATAATCACCAATTAGTTCTTTAAGCACTTGATACTACTTTTTCACATCAGAAAGAAATGTTGTGCCGTTTCCATGAGGCCAGCCTGAGCTGGTTTATTTATTTATTTAATTATCAGTAAGTTATGATTGATTATTAAAAAGATCTCTAATTCTTTAGAAGATTCAATGAGTAAATTATTTACAATCAGTGCTAAATATCATTAGGAAGAGTAAAATGAAGAAAAGTTATAAGGCTTACAACATTTAGTTAATTATATCCTCAAAATCCCGTACGCGAGAACCAAGATTGGGATTTGAGGGTTAAGACAAAGCCACATAAGAAGGAAAGGATGAAACTAAACAACACAAGGTCATGCATATTTTCACATAGCCTCCAACACTATAGTGCCTAATGATACGCAGAAACAGTCACATATTGCTGCGTGGTAAGAGTCAGATTGATTTGGTGCGAACAATTGGATAGATAGGATTTCAGGAAGATCCCAATCCTAGTTATCCATTGTTTAGCAAGAAAAATGTAGTTTGACTCTTATACGGTCTGAGAAGAATCTCAATACTGTGTATTTCGGTTAATTAACGTCATCTAGTGTCGAAAAGAAAATGTAGATGTTTGCCACAGTGCAGCTATTCGTTAAATGATGTCAAGTTTCACAATTACATTTTGTGCAATCAAATTAATAAATCTTGCACGTCCAAGACATTATAAATATTTACAAAATTATATTGCAGAAGACGAAAAAGTCTTGTTATAATTGATGGCGTCAAGGGTATTAATTTATTGAAAAAAAAAACGAAAAGTTCTCAAACTCTCGACTAATAATAAGTTTTAATTTTTTTTTCTATAACAGAAGGGGGCAAACGAGCAGCGGGAACACCGAGGTGTTCAACGACGCCCATGGACATCAGCAATACCAGAGGAACCGCAGATGCGTTGCCGGCCTTTTAGGTGGTGATAAGTGAAAGATTTTTTCAAGGTTTACATTAATTTTGTTACTAGCATTTTAAGCACCTCCTACCACAGCCAGGATTTTCATTTTAAGGTTAAGATTAATAGAAAAATGAAACAGAACAACATAGGGTCATACATATTTTCACACAGGCTCCGAGACCGTAGTGTTTAATGAAACACAGCAATAGTCTCATGTTGCCGAGTGGAATAAGTCAAATTTATTTTGGTCCGAACAAGTGGATATTTAGGATTTCAGGAAGATCCCAATCCTAATTATCCATTGTTTAGCTTTAACAAATTGTAGTTTCACTCTTATACGGTCTGAGAAGAATCTCAATACTGTGTATTTCGGTTGATTAACGTCATCTAGTGTCGAGAAGAAAATGTTTGCCACAGTGCAGCTATTCGTTAAATGATGTCTAGTTTCACAATTACATTTTGCGCCATCTACCGAAAAATGTAAAAGCTCAAGCAAAATTACTAAGTTTAAAACTGAAGGAAAGTTTTAAGGTTTACAATAATTTAATTAATGCAACTTTAAAAACCCAAAACTAGATCCATGGTTTGAAAATCGGTCTTGTAATAAAATGAATCTATCAAATGAGCACTATGATTTAGGTATTTTATTACTTTTTGAATATTTTACAGTTATTTGGCACATATGCATCGTACAATTACAAAAATATCATTAAAAATATTTCTTTTTGATCTTTCAAAAGCACAATTTTCTCTTTATAGTATATACTAAGTTCGCATGTCATGTGTAGTTATATTAAATTTGTGCTTACTTAATTCAAGTTCGTTCTTTTACTTCCATGAAATTAATACAGATTCAAATCAATTTAAAACACATTTTCGAAAACATTTTTTTTTTATTCTTGGTGATCTCAGGCAATAACTTATTTATTTAGTTTGTATTAACGGAAATTATAAAAAGTAATTTCGCATAAAAAAAACTATAGATGTGTTTGTTTACACAAATGAGTAAAATTTTACGGTTCCGCTCTTGCGAATGTGTGTCCCAGACTCCAGGGTCAAGGGGCTATTTGTTATATAACAGTCGGAACATCATCAAGAGAAATGGACGAAAATGTGAACATGTTTTAGCAATGGATTTGTGATCTTATTCATTCACAAACATAGTTGACAATTGCGCAGTAATATTTTAAGTCAAAAATATTCCGCCAAAGACTTGATTAATGACATATGACATTAGCAAACTACCCACCGCCCCTTACTTTACACCATAAATTAAAAAAAGAAAGTTTGAATGAGTTTCGTAAAGTTTTAAGTGTATAAGAAATAAAATATTTTTTGCCACCTTCGGATATTTGTTTTAATTTTTGTTCTTTTCTTCGACGATATCAGCATGATCTTGAGAGGTAGTCGGGTGACATCGTTAGGGCAGACAGTTTGACGCCAAGACCGGATACACAATACGTCTAATACTATACCATGCTCTAGGTGAGTCGATCATCTCATACGAGTTAACTAGCTACGCCAGTACATTTCGTATAATGTGTACACAATTATTTCATGAAATAAAAAATAATAATATAAAAACTATAGAAAGAAAAATCATCACTCAATCATCATTAATTTCTAACAAGAGTTTGTCTATTTTCTGAATTCTATTTATCGAAAAACTTAAAATATAAATTTAGTAAAACACCAATGTTCTCATGCTAACATTGTATTAGAACACTAACAACAATCTACCCTACTATGACACAAAAAAGGCAGTTCAACGTCTGCACCTTTACTTAACATCAATAATTATGAACCTACGGAACTAAGTTCTTACTTGTTCCTCTAGTTACTTCTATGATAACATACAACATGGATCTCGCTAAAATTTGACATACATATTTGGCACATTGGACGAAGTCGCGGGCGACAGCTACTTACTTACTCCGCTGGCGCATCGACCCAAAGTGGGTCTTGGCCTCCGACACAAGAGATCGCCAAAGTCGCCAGCGCCAGCTAGTAATTTATAAAACCTAAAGTGAACTGTGACTGTTAAATTAACTTTGACGTTAATTCGTACTTTTCTAGCATCTTATGATAGCACTTCTAGCCTATAGTTTTCAATGCCTAAATTTTATTAATATTATAATTGTGAATGTAGGGATGGGTGTATGTTAGGAGGTATCTTCAGAACGGCTGCACCGATCTCGATGAAATTAAGCATAGATATATAGATTATAATCTGGAAGAAAACATAGCCTACGTCTTAAGTTATTTTTTTAAATTTATTTGATACATATATTTTGTATCAATATTTCTCATCACAACCGAAAAGGAAACTGCATGTCATATCATTTAAAATGTTCAGATTTGTCGTCCCGTAGCTGTATATATTCCTATCAATTTCATTTAATAAATTAAGAACACTGATAATTTAGTTTTCGTAACAAAATGTATCTATAAAAATATCTGATTCAACTTCACACAACTCTCTAGATAAAATTATTCAGTTAAAGAACATTTTAAGCGTGGGATAATACGTCTGGTGGAATTGATTGAGCGCCTCGTTGCGGGAACACAATTAATCCATTCGAAAATTATCCGGTGCAGTTCCCGGGGCTTCAATTAAAATGTAAATGTCGCGGGTCGGTGTTAGAGGCTGATAGCGACCGCGAAGCGCGCGCAAACTCCCATCATATACACCCCGAACCCCGCACCTACCCTTTAAACGAACCCCAGCTCCACGCACCCCGCACGCCCAGCATCGTGATAAGCGTCTCTTGAATTTATGAATTTTAAAAAGAGCCCGTCGTGAGCCGTTGTACACTTACTTATTTCTGTTAATACAGTGTTAGCTATTCTCTAAGGTTTTTATTTTCTTTATTAAGCATTGTTACCAGGTGGTGACAATAAGGAAAAACAAGAGTAAACGAGCACGGGACCGGTCGCACACTAATTTATCTGACCAAGTCCAAACAATACTGGTTGAGGTAAGACAATACCTACGACTTTCAGTAGATAATAAAGATATAGTAGCCGTTCTAGAGATACCTCCAAAAAACATCCATTCATCCATCTAAACATTCGCATTTATATTACTAGTAAGATATATAGAGTACTAGCTCGCTTAAGTTCAGACTATGTTAAATATCTACGCCAAATTTCAGCAAAATACATGCAGCCGTTCTGGAGATACCTTAAAACAAACATCTATCTAAACATTCGCATTTATAATATTAGTAAGATAGTAAGATAAATTAATTTTGGAATTAGATTTGAGAAAACAAAACAACAACCAAATAAC